CAGAAGGGTTTGGGGGAGACACTGTTTCCCCTAGAGCCCCCTGGCATAACAAGGAATAATGGACACAAATTATTGGAGAGTAGGTCTAGATTAGACATCCGCAAGAATTACTTCACAGTTAGGGCGGCTAGGATCTGGAACCAACTTCCAAGGGAAGTGGTGCTGGCTCCTACCCTAGGGATCTTTAAGAAGAGGCTTGATGCCTACCTGGCTGGACTCATTTGAGTCTAGTTTTTCTCCTGCCCAGGCAGGGGGTCGGACTGGAAGATCTACAAGGTCCCTTCCGACCTGACTTCTATGATTCTATGATTCAGACTCAACTCTCAGTCTAACCTTTAGCCTTGTGGTTAGTGCTCTTGGATAGTTTGGGAATGTGGATTTGAATCCCCTTAGGTTGAAAACAACCTAAAACACAGGCCTCCCACTTTGTGGTTGACAGCTTTAACTACACACTTGAGAAAGAAGACAACCACACCACAAGCTGTAGCAACAACTCTTTAAAAGAGGAGTCAGCAACCTGTGGTCCACAGGCCAGATTCAGCAAACAAAGAGGTCCTATGAGGCTTGCAAAAGTCCAATCCAGCATGGGAAATCAGTTGCATGGAGTGGCCCCATGGTCCCCATCCTATCCTCTGTGGAGCTGTTGCTCCACTGCATCTGCATTTGCTCTCACTGCAGAGGGAATGGGGGGTTGGTAGCAAGACAGGGGCTGCTTTGGGATGTGGGGGGTGAAGACCTGGGACAGCATCTTGGGCCAGGTCACAAAAGATGCCACCCCACCTCAGAAGATAGCTCTAGGCTTTGGATATAGCAGTGCTCCCTCCATACCTCCTCATAGTCTATACTCAAGTGTCTAAGCTCTGAAGAAAGGAACGATTTTAGATACACTCATCTTTCTAAGATGCCTAACTTTCCCTGTGCATTGTATAACAAGCCTACCAGTGGACTTTGGCTTCCACTGTGGGAGCCAGATGCCTAAAATTTAATTGCTGAGGTGCAAGGCTTCTTGGTGCTAAATTCTTTTATTAGATCTGCCCTCTAGTACATATTCTGTGCTAAACTGTAAATTGGAGTTCTTATGTAAAAATCTAAAATGAAATACTGGTGCTATGCAAAAGCAAGAGAAGTTTGTGAAGTTTAAGGCCAGAGTGAAGTCAATAAAGGTCTAATTAAAGCCACAGAAGTCCTCTATCTGATTCAGAACCTTCCTTTAAGGGTATCTTTAGTAATTTAGTCCATCAGCTACAGAACTACAACAATTAGTGGTTTAGTACTCTCATACTGACCGTGAATTGTTGTGAAGCTGATTTACATACAGCTTTATAAGAGAATGCTCATCAGCCACAGGACTGGCTACATTTATACCCTCAAGTAACCTGAATAATTCAAACAATGAAACCTTGTTAATATCCTATGCAAACACACACAGAAAGTGGCATGCTCAAAGTGGATTCAGTGCATTCAATCCAATTCATGACTATTTTAGACAAAACAATTTTTTTTTTACAAAGTAAAATGATGGGATTCAGTTTAATTAAGGCTGAAAACAAAAATAATTAAAAAACAAACTGTGACACACTTAAATATCACGGAGGTGGGAAGACAAAAAATTATAAGAGATTTAATGTATGGTATTCTTTTACATAACAGGGTATTATTAACTCTAAAATAACCAGAAATGACCATGGCATCATAGGAATATTTCATGATGGAAAGATGTCATATCACCCACTTACCAGGATGTCTGTCTACCTAGAGTCCTGGCCTTTTAAAATTCCTCATGTCCTACAGAGGTTTTCCATCCACCAGTTCTGATTTTCTGCAAAAAGGACACCTCTGGTGTTCAGGAGAAACAGAATTCTAAAGGGCCAGGAATGTGTCTACACTGGATCCTGGTCATTAAAAATAATAGCTTGAATTAATAAAAACAACAAGAGCAATTTTTTTCATAAGTCAAATGAAACGCATTCAGTAAATATAATAGAAGATACTGTAATTAATAATTACTTATGGCTTCCTTTCTTATATTATGAAGCATATTTTTATTGAATGAGAAAAAAATGAAAAAATATTCTTACTAGTTAAGAGAGAGTAGCTGAATGCACAAAAGTAACCAAGATAATTTATGGGTTACAAATAATTTTCAGTAACCATTTTAATTGTTAGGGTAGTAAAACATCTTTACTCGCAATTATATTATAGGCTCTGTTTCTGGTGTTAAAAGAATAACCACAAATACCCATGTTGCCATGGTTATGTTTGGTTATTTTGGGTCACTGAAACACTGACACATAAAGCAAGAACAATGCAATCAAATGCAGCCATAGCTTATACCATGCTTACTTTCTCAGTTACAACAAGGAGGTGCTTCCCCTTCTAGTTTCTTGGCTACTGACAAGTTTACTTAGATTATTATGTAGTAGGTCGCAAATGTTGCACACATCATGGCTGCCTGCTCATATACCGGCGCATGGAGTAGCACACCCTGGGAGTGACATTTTTGGAGAATTCTGTCTTGTTTTCTAAAAGATCATCAAATTTCAACATGTTTCTTTCTTTGTTGCAGACTTTAATGAAATACCGGATGTTTTAATTGGTTGAAAAGATGGCTTGCCATCTTGCTAAACACCGATTTAATATGTCCTAACCTTATCAAAAGCAGCTGCAGTTTCATTTCATTTGATCATTTGTGTTTAAAGTCTTTTCAGCTAGGTCTGGAAATGATGCTGTGAATTCAGACTATGCTGCAAAGCTCCAATCTAGAACCTCCCTCCCTTCCTTCCAGTTTAGAGGTGCTTGCTCCTAGGCATTCTTATATGAGGTCCTTCTTTACTTAATGACAAACAACACTAAGCATAAAAACATATCCTTGTATTCTACACTGTATATTATTATATAAAAATTGTTATGGCCAACATGGATGAAGTGCAAGTAAAATTTGAATTAAAGCTATACTAAGAAGGCTGTATTACAGTCAAAATGCTTTTCTTTCTCAGACATGTAAGGGAGAATTAGGAAGACATCAAACTCATTTCCATTTTAACATTTTAAACATTTTAACTTGGATTCCCAGAGATGACAAATTAATGTATTAACACAGTACTCAACAGAAAAAAATCTTACCCAACTTCTCTCTTAAGGTCCCACTGACATAGACAAATGACTTAGAATCTGTGGCCAAATTTTTAATGTTTGGTGGCTAATCTACGGGGCCAGGGACAGATGTTACACATAAACTGGTTTAAGTGTTCTGAAACTGGTTTAAACCTGTAACAGAACAGAAGCTCCATGCACATAAACCAGTTTCAAAATGGCAGAAACTGGTTTAAGATGAACCTGGTTGAATGTTGTATCAGACTTAACTGATTTGGGTCAAACTGGTTTATGAAACTTCTGTCACAGACCCCTTCCTGATTCAAGTTAAAATCAGTCCCCCAGCATGCTTTCCAGCCCTTGGCTGTGCTGTGCTGTGCTATCTGCCCCAGAGAGCAGGGCTGGCCCCACTTCTCTCCTCCCTAGCTGGAGCAGTGAGGGATAGCTGACAAGGGGATGGAAGGGGAAAGCCCAGGTGGGAATGCAGCCCAGTCTATGGTGGGGGACTGACTCCCGGCAAACCCTGGCTGGGGTTTGG